GGAAGGAAGATGGGGCAATCTACTTCTGTAGTGAAACCGCCTCAGAAACCCAAGGAGGGGTTGCTATGAGTTGGATCCGACTTGATGGCAGTGGGTTATACCTGAGTTGGAACCAAATGAATGGCACCTGACAACAGAGAGGTTAGGTGACTTGTCGCCGGTTATACAGCCAATAGGCAGCAGATCTGGGATTCCAGTCCCCGTCTGTTTGAATCCAAAGCTTTTTGCACTTACCCACTGCCCTATGCTGCCTCAATGAATATCTGTCAATTGAATGAATCTCAGAGCTACCAAGAATCTTCCACATGGTGTGGTCCAGCTCACACCATGTTCTTATTTTATATACATGGAGTGTCCATCCATTGACCTCTAGGTTACAGACCCAACTTGCCACCCTGCTGGAGGAAGTGCAGCAGGAAGGCTCCTGGGAAGTGAGAATGGCCAGACTTCTTCTCACCTACTTTGGTCATGTTGTCAGAAGGGACCATTCCCTGGAGAAGGATGTCATGCTTGGCAAAGTGGAAGGTCAATGAAAAAGGGGAAGGCCCTCAATGAGATGGATCAACACAGTGGCTGCAGTGTTGGGCTCAAGTATAGCAGGGATTGTGGGGCTGGGACAGGACCAGGCAGTGTTTCGTTCTGTTGTACATGGGGTCGCTATGAGTCGGAGCTGACTTGACGGCACCAAACAACAACATATATCTGGAAACTGAGGCTCCAACATGGGAAGGATCCAAGTGTCGATCTCTTAACTACAGTTTCTGGCCCAGGGTCCCTGGATTCACGTGGAGGAGTTATTTCTTAGAAATTTAGAAGAGATTCAGGTTTGATGTGCAAGCTCATTTAGTTTACTGCAGGTAACAATGACTGTTACAGTGTTGGCGCTATGGTGGCCCAGTGGGCAAGGCATTTGACTGCAAAGCAGAAAGTCGGTGGTTCAAACCCACCAGCTGCTCACGGGAGGCAGATGAGGCAATCCACTTCTGGAAAGACTGACAGCCTTGGAAACCCTACGGGGGTTG